AGAAACAGTTCCTTCAAAAACTTATTATTTCACATTTCATTATTATTACAAAAAAATGGCAAAAGCACTAATGGGCAGCCTTTTCTTTTAAGGAAGGTTACTTTTATAAGTGGAATAGACAGACTATTGAATGAATTGAGTAACAGGTCTATATCTACCAATGAATAGCTAGATTTTCGAACATTTCAAATAGAGTGAAAGCATTCATCCATATTGTAACGAAATCATTATTTTGTCACTTAAATATAGGATTGGCGTCATTACTTTTTTTGTATATCCTAAGTATCTCTGCGTATATATAATATGTGTAGTTCATATTTTAAATTCATTAGTTTCTTGATGGGAGTAATTGTTGGATCTGAACATAGTCAATCCTTTTAACTAATAGAATAAGCCATTCGATTGTTAGGATCATATCAAACAAATTCAAAGTTTTAATCCTTGCATGGATCTAAAAAGTTTGGTTTTCTCTATCGGTTGACCACCTTTGGATTTTATTCATATTTATTTGATTGTATCATGACACAACAATATAAAATGTACAGTGTATCCTAGCAATCTTCATTTACTTTCATTTACTGACCTTACTGGCACGCTGATACACGATCCGACAGAACTTTCATATCAACCAAATACACATCATTAAATCAATGGTATAGTCTTCATTTCTTTCTTCACTTAACAGCTCGAGTTTTTATTACATTTTTTGTTCCTATATGCGATCAGACTAATACTTGTATGATTGCTATCGATACTAATCTGATTGATAGAAACAAGAAACAAAATCTATTAATACATCTACTCAACGTCGCATATCCACCATTGATAAGAAAAGCTGATTTTCCATGCTTTTAGTACAGTGTTCAATGATGTTTTCTCTCCTGACCAAATACTAGAGGTGTGGATGTGTGTATTTCCGTGTCAACCCACATATACACCCGCGAGGTATTTTCAGATTTCCAAAAGAAGAAAACCTTGGAGTTGGACGAACTGGACAAAGATGATTTTTTTTAAATTTTCGAAGTTTTACAACTTAGATTTCCATGCGAGATATCTGAGCCAAAAATTTAAAATGTCGCTCCAGACTGCACATATCCAAGGTTATAGTTTTATAGCCGTAATAGAAGCCCACCCCGTTCAAACCAAGTACAAAATAGACTATTTCGAAAATTGAATTAACTAGCTCATTGTTTTTCATTGTTTAATTATAGGTCAGTTTATGTACCTTATTTGCATTGTGTTGAATATATTTTCTATCAACAGACAATTGAAGATTTTTAACTATTGAAAATATGAATGCACAAATATTAATAAAGTATCGCTGTCTTAGAACTATTGAAAAGAAATTGTACGTGAAATGTTGCAGTTCTATCAAGTTTCTTCCTATTATAGAATAATTCTACAGCTCAGAAACGAAATTATTGTGATTTTGATTAACTTAACAGTAATATGAGCAAATATTTGACTGAAAATTTACGATATTCGTCAGATCTGTTAAGATCATACAATATTAGAGAAAGTCTATTGCGCAATGTTATCGTGAGACTGCTTGAGCTGAATGACAGACTCTTATTGTGTAGTCAAAGGTCTACTTCATACTTTTTTTGTTGAGATAATTTAAATCTATCTCGTTTCGTATTTGAACTGTGCATAAACTCCCATAATGAAGTCGTCCAACAGAGCTATGTCGATACTTAATAGTATGGACTTGGGAACGACCTAGAAGTCAGTCCTTGATTCCAGGGAAACTATGATAGATACTCCAAAAGTACTCAGATCGTCTGGAAATTCAGATTCAGCAATTTTAAAGATGTTCTATGCCTGCAACCTAATTAAATTTCAGCGGCAATGTAAAAGAAAAAGTTGATCGCAATACAAGCCCATGTCAAAATTTATGATTTTCAAAAAAATTAGAAGCCCAGTGGGCCTGTACTCAGTGTTGAAGGGGGGGGGGCCCTCAGAACATCGCTTCTCACGAATACAAAACGATCGATCATTCATGTTTATTTTCCAATATCTTTTAACTTCATAATGCTTTCTCCCAATTGTAGAAAAGTATCATTTAGCGTCGCATAACTTCAGTTGACATGAAAGTCAAACAAAACATTCATATTGCCTTGGTATTAGTAATGAGTTTTCTCAATTTGTGCGGTACTCGAGTCATTAGAACAAAGGTTGCCATTCTTGGAAGTGGAATGGCTGGTATGGCTGCCGCTCGCACTTTATCAGAAAATGGCATTTCAGATTTTTTGATTATTGAAGCACAATCAACTCTTGGAGGACGAATGAAAGAAATAAAATTCGGAGGATATACTATTGAATTAGGTCCTAGTTGGATTCAAGGTATNTTCGAAACTAATATCAAATTCGGAATCAGCGTTAAAAACTGAGTCGATTTATATATGCTGTGAATGATTCTGAAAAAAAAAATTTTTTTTTGAAAAAATCCCTGTACCCCCCCTCAAGGATGGTCTTCTCAAAAATGACAATTTTTTCGATAACTCAGCCATTTCTTGACGGATCCTGCTCATCTTCGAACTCGACCGAGACATTGTTAAGACTGAATTGTGTAGAAAATTTCATCGCGATTGGACTCTCCTTTCAAAAGTTATCGTGTATACGGCCGGACGGACACACAGACCGATTTTAGTAGTGTACTCACTTTTTGAGTACACAAAAAAATGACAAAAGCACTAATTAACAGCCTTTTCTTTTAAGGAAGGTTGCTTTTATAACTGAAATAGACAGAATATCGAATGAATTGAGTAACAGGTCTATTTCTACCAATGAATAGCTAAAATTTCGACCATTTCACATAGAGTGAAAGCGTTCATCCATATGGTAACGAAATCATTATTTTGTCACTTAAATATAGGACTGGTTGCATTACTTTTTTTCTTCTATATCTTAAGTATCTCTGCGTAGATACAATATGTCAATCTTTTTAACTAATAGAATAAGCCATTCCATTGTTAGGATCATGTCATAGAAATTCAAAGTTTTAATCCTTGCATAGATCTAAAAAGCTTGGTTTTCTCTCTCGATTGACCACTTTTAGATTTTATTCATATTTATTTGATTGTATCATAATACAGCAATATAAAATGTACAGTGTATCCTTGCACTCTTTATTTACTTTCATTTTTGTACCTATCCGTATTATACAACACACGACATCGAGCAATATACACATTGATTATATCTAATTGTAAACTAGTAATCAATGCTGACCTTACTGACACGCTGATACATGATCTGACAGAACTTTCATATCAACCAAATACACATCATTAAATCGGTGGTATAGTCTTCATTTCTTTCTTCGCTTAACAGCTCGAGTTTTTATTATATTTTTTATTTATATATGCGATCAAACTAATATTTGTATGATTGCTATCGATATTTATCTGACTGATAGAAACTGTACAAAACTAGAACCATTTATGTAATAGAAAATACAAAGTCCTGAATTGCTCTCACAGTGAACCATTTGGTCACTAAAACAAAATCTATTAATACATCTACTCAACGTCACATATTCACCATTGATAAGAAAACCCCAGTCCCAAGGTTATAATTTTATAGACGTAATAGAAGCCCATGCCGTTCAAAGCAAGCATAAAATAGACTATTTCGAAAATTGAATTAACTAGCTCATTGTTTTTCATTGTTTAATTATAGCTCAGTTTATGTATCTTATTTGCATATTGCTGGATACATTTTCTACCAATAGACAATTAAAGATTTCTAACTATTGAAAATATGAACGCACAAATATTAATAAAGTATTGCTGTCTTAGAACTATTGAAAAGAAATTATGCGTGAAATATTTTAGTTCTATCAAATTTCTTCCTATTATAGAATCATTCTACAGCTCAGAAACGAAATTATTCTAATTTTCTTTTAACTTAACACTAATATGAGCAAATCTTTGACTGAAAATGTAAGATCATACAAAATTAGAGACACTCTATTGTGCGATGTTATCATGAGACTGCTTGATCTGAATTGTTTCGTATTTGAATTTTGTATGAACTGCCACAATGAAGTTGTTCAACAGAGCTATATCTATTAAAATTCTTTTTAAAATTTCTTCAAAACTCGACAATATGTCAAATCAAGATATTATTTTTACGTCGAGTTTTTGCATCCATGGTAAGATCCATGAAATGTTGATAGTAAATGAACACTTGAATGGGAAACTTAACGTAAAAAGCACACTACATTATGAATTTAATAGTACAAACTTGTGAACGATCTAGAAATTTGTCCTTGATTCTAAGAGAAAATTTTTAAGGTGTTCTTTGCCTGCAATCTAATTAAATTTAAGTGACAATATAAAAATAGTTGATCGTAATGCAAGGCCATGTCAAAATTTATGATTTTCAAAAAAAAAACTTGGAAGCTCAGTGGTCCTCTATTCAGTGGGGAGAGGGTTCCTCAGAACATCGCTTCTAACGAATACAAAACGATTGATCATTCATGTTTATTTGTCAATATCTTCTAATTTCATCATGCTTTCTCCCAATTGTAGAAAAGTATCATTTAACTTCGCATAACTTCAGTTGATATGAAAGTCAAACAAAACATTTATCTTGGTTTGGTATTAGTAATGAGTTTTCTTAATTTGTGTGGTACTCGAATCATTAGAACAAAGGTTATCATTCTTGGAATTGGAATGGCTGGTATGACTGCTGTTCGCACTTTATCAGAAAATGGTATTTCAGATTTTTTTGATTATTGAAGCACAATCGATTCATGGAGGACGAATGAAAGAAATAAAATTCGGAGGATATACTATTGAATTAGGTCCTANGATTTCGTTTTAATTCCAAATCTAATTCATTTGTATTTTCTAAAAGTTGATAGATACGACTGATCACATCAATATTTATATGACTTGTATTTATTTGAAGAAAAATTTTAATTAGATAAACTTTATCAGTTTGATTGATTTGGTTAGAAATTAAATCCGATAGACTATTTATTATACTATTATTTAGATTTTTTCAGTAAGAGTACATCCTTTTATTTTCACCATATAATAAATCATTTGAATAGCATTGCTTTGTATTAGATGATCTTTTTCATTTAATAATGATGTTAAAAGTTCTAAATTTGGTGATATGATATTACTTTCAATTGCAAGTTTTACAAAATTAGAAAGATTTCGTTTTAATTCCAAATCTAATTCATTTGTATTTTCTAAAAGTTGATAGATACGACTGATCACATCAATATTTATATGACTTGTATTTAATTGTAATAAATTTGTATAAATAAGAATAACATCTGTATTGACTTCAGTATCATTAATAAATTTTTGTAATTGAAGAAGAAAAGTATCAGAAACTATTTGATGATTTTTAATTATTTGAAGAAAAATTTTAATTAGATAAACTTTATCAGTTTGATTGATTTGGTTAGAAATTAAATCCGATAGACTATTTATTATACTATTATTTAGATTTTGTCCATTTGAAGTAACATTGATGAGTATTTGTAATATACCTGTTACTCGTTTTGAATCGAAAAGTAATCGTTGTAGTGAATTTAAGATACCTTTTGATAATTGTTTACCATTCAATGTAGCCATGTTTAACTGTTGTTCAGCATCTTTCGCTTCGTTTTCACATACAGAATTCGTCAGTATTTTGACATAATATTCATATTTCAATAAATTGTTAATAACTTCTGGTAATTGTTGATTTCTATCAGCAAATTCCAATGTTAAAATAATATTATTTCTTCTCATTTCTTTAGTGCTTTCAAATAATAAATTACTAAGTGTAATCAAAGTTTTTTCCGTTAATATACACTGATTAAAAGCACATTTTCGTAATATTTGAATTAATGTATCTTGATCCGATCTATTTTGGAGAATTCGTTCAATCATGTCAACAATATTTTGAGACAATAGATTATATTCTACATGATAAAGAAGTATATCAGCAGTATTAGTTACTATTGTCATATCATGATCAAAAAGAAATTGTGCAATTAATTCTATAAGATCATTCGATAATTTATGATTTTGTTCAGTTATCTTTTTTAAGATCGATAATGTATGTTGATGCACGTGACCATTGAATTTTTTTATTAATAATGTACTAATAGATTTTTGTGATTTTTTAAAGAAATATATCAGATTCTTTTGCCAATTATTTAAGAATATATTAGCTGCTTCAAGACGTATATTAAATTCAGGATCATCGAGTGTAATTTCGACATTTACTAGAACGGCAGATGGAAGAATGATACTTTGGGGTGTGGGTGTGTGGGTGTGGGTGTGGGTGTGGGTGTGGGTGTGGATGGGTGTGTTAAAAACTGTAGATGTGAGTGAAGTCTGAGCCCCCTCTTTACATCGGCACCCACCCCACACCAGCACTCACCCTCTTTTCAAATATATTATATAAGTGATACAATTTTAGATGGCGATGGAAATTTGGCAGCTTTTTCTCTTTTCAACCATTGCAAAGAAAACTAAAATCAGCTTGTCTTCAATTAATCAAAGCTGAACATCAAAATACAGTAATTAATACTGAAGTGATTAGGGATCTCATATAAAATTACGGTAAAGATCAAAATAATCTTTTTATCTTGAAGTTTATTTGGAAAATTTTAGTCAAACATGATTACATGGTAAACTCATGTATACTATATAGAATTCATCTAATAACATCTGCAGCATTGGCTATTTATAAAGATTATTTTGAAGTACCATATCTTAAACAACCTGAACAATTATATCGTCAAGATTGTAGCTAGTTTTCTTGCTTAGTATTCTGTAACGGAATATTTGAAAAAGATTTACTTTTTTTTTTCTTTTATAAAAATGGTGAAACATTTAGTTGTATTTGTAATAGGTAGCTCAATATCTTGATGAAGGAAAAGATCGTGTGCAATCATACTTACATTCGTCAACATTAGAAGCATTGATTAAAATAGTGGAGTAGGTATTGATTTGTTATCAACTTGAAGTTATCTATGTCGAAACTAAAACATTCAGGTAAATAAAGAAAAAACAAAAGTTAATCTTTGTTATTAAAGAATTCATTTAATTTATTTTTTTTAGCGTTGTTATTCAAATTAGTTCGTTGAGTACTGAATTCAATTACTAAATTTAAAACAATCTTTGAAGATCATGTTCGTGAAACGCATATTGATGCTATTGAACGTATTAGTAGAAATTACTACAATTAATGGCATAAGAATTTTTTCTTTTTCATTCGTTCTAATTTATTGTTATATTTATTTGTTTAATCGATTAGGATCCAAAAGTTTATGTTGAAACTATTCTTGAAATTCATACAAAGCTTTTTTACACTTATAAAAGAAACTTTTAATAGTGAGCAAGGTTTTACAGTTGTTCTTGATAAACTAATTTACCATTTTCTGCATCATCAAAGCTTGTTTTACAAGTTGAAGTAAGAGTCGCTTTTATCATCATTATTGATAGGTTATGAAAAATTTGGTTTTGCTTTAAACTTAAAACAACAAACATCTAAAAGTTTCACTAAATTCTGTACTCAACAACATAATGTTATATACAGAACCAAGATATATTTCACATGTATTTATTGATTCAGTCTATGTTTTGATTTTTATTTGCTTGATTGGTTTTAATTATTAAGAGTATCAATGTATCAAATGGTAGCTTCGGTTTTATTTAATAAATCTTCAAGTTGGATAGCTGAAAGATGAGCCAGATGAAACTCACATAAAACTTGATTTATTTTTAAAAGTTCTTTGTGGTTTATTGACAAGTAAATTACTAAAATGTGCAGAAATTAATGATGATAATCTTAACCAAGACTTGAAGGTTGTGGGTGTTAGTGCATGTCATTAAAAAATTGGACTGATATCGGCGATTAATTCCGATTGATAGGACAGTTGTTTTTTCGTACGTAGTTCAGATATGTCACTAGTCAGCGATATTTTTAAGATTGCCAAAATAATAGGACATTCGAAAAATTCAGCAATTAACCATGATTTATCGAAAGGATAATCGTACGCTAAATCACGATTAATCATCGATTTTGAACAAGACTTTTGTGTCCCAAATATTTCCGTTATTTTTCAGGATAAAAGATTTTCGAGAACATATTCGAGTTCGGAAGTATCAGATTGCTATTCTATCATGAATCCAATCAATCATTTGGAATTTTACGATTGGAATCATTAAAACTGGCTTTTGCTACGAAACAATAAAAGTCGAATTCGTGCACAGATTCTCTTTTGGTTATGTGTGTCCAGATTGTTTACACCCTTCCTTCAACAAATTGAAAGCATACACCTGTGATCTTTTTCATAAAAACTCTGAGCAGATGTCGGAGAAAATCAGCGATTTAGCGCGCTATACTCTTTTCAATTAATCATCAAAATCGTCCCGATTTTTAAGACATGAGTAGTGCTTTTTCATCGACACGCATACACCAACACCTACATATTTATAAATTAAGACTATATTTATTTAGATAAACAAATAGAAAACATGATAATTGTTTTGATAAATAAATGACTTGTTTTTTTACATAATAGAGCACAATCGACTGACTAGTTCAGTTGCAAGTGCATCATTAACATTTGTTGATTGTTGTGCATTATTCTTAGGATGAATAGTTAGTTGCTTTTCATTCTTAGTTAATCTTCTTACTGGTATTCTTGATGGCCTAGCCTGAGAAATATTTTTTTAAAATTTTCCAGTATCGACTTCAGGAATAATTTCTTTTAATTGGGCGAGTAGTTTTTTGAATTGTTTACTTTTCCAAATACTATCATTTTGAATATTTTTATTTGAACGTCGAAAATCAATAAATGATTTTCCAGTAAAAATCATTGACATAGGACCAGATGGTGGCCATGTATCTGTTAGTTCAAGTAATAATGGAATAATTGGTTTTGAAAGAGCATCAGATAATGACATTTCTCGTCGACAATTTATTGATTTTGTATATTTAGGTGTAATACAAGCAATAACACATTTAGCATAACGAATTCCATTATCAATTTTTTCAAATAGAGAATCTCCACCACCCATTTGAAATATATCAAGCCAACATTTATAATTTAATTTAATTAATAATTTATATAAATCAATAATATCTTTTTGATAATCCCATTGATAAGATATCATTATTTGTGGATGATTAATTTCAAGTAATGTATCATTTTTTAAATTAATTTCTTTATCTTTACTATCATTTGATTTTGATTGAATAAAAATAAGATTATTAATATTTGGTATAAACCAATTATAATATTCTTTTGTAATAATATCTGGATCAGGTGCAACATAATAACGAATTTGTCCAAGAAGTTCAATAAATTTATCTGCAGGACAATAATTATCTGAATTTGTTTTTTTATCATAAAATCTAATAAATAAATATTGACTCATTATTGGTCCAAGAGCTCCTTCAGGTGGCCATGTTTGTTTTTCCATTTGTAATGGAATTAATGATTTTCCAGTACTAATACAAAGATGAACTTCACGTAAACAATTATCTGATTGTGCATAAGCTATATTCATACAACAAATAATAACTTTTGCACCACGAATTCCAGCATCAATTTTAGCAAATAATTTATCACCACCACCTATTTGGCCTGTATCCATCCAACATAAATATCCTGCTGATTCAAGATGTTTTTTTTTAGATTTAGAACAGCTTTTTGACAACCCCATTGATATGAAAGAAAAACAGGCGGTAAACGTTTTATTTCAATATTCATATCATCAGGAATTAATTCACCAGCAGTAATAACTGCATTTCGAATAATGTTAACAACATCTTGTCTTCCAATTTCTTCAAGTATTTTAACAAGTCCATATGTAGCTTCATCAGCCTTATGTGTCATAAACCATTCATTAAGTAAATACATCGATGGATCAGATTGTAATGCCCAATGTTTTAATTCACTTGTTGAATAACCAAAACGTTTTCCAAGTAAACGCCAATCATTATCAGATTTTATATTTAATAATTTCGATACTTCATTACCCCATTCACTTGGAACATAACTTAATGTTTTAGCATCAATTCTTTCAATTTCTTTTCGTTGTATTTCAATTTGTTGATTAACATCATTTAAATGTGTATCAACTACATTAATTTGTTCATTGAGATTTGTTACCTATACATAAATAGATTGAATTTCAATATTTCTGATAGATATAATATATTATCTTGAAGCTACGAAAAGAATCTTACTTTTAACTCATGTTGTTTGACAATAATCTTAACATTTTGTAGATTTTTTTTCTGTTTTTCCAACACGTTTTTCTATTTGTAAAATTTCTTCTTTTGTTTGATTGATTAAAATTTGATTTTCTTCAGTTAATTTATTTCCATCAATAAAATCAATTAATGTTCGATATTGATTATAAGAATTATATTTTATTAAATCTGATCGTTTAGTCTGAAGTGCTTGTTTATTTATAATACCAATTAATTGACATGTATGAAATATTTGTGTACGAATATCATTTGTAATGCCAGATTGATCTTTAAGTAAATTGATAAGAATAACTAAAGATTCATTAGCTGTTTGTTCACCATTAACAATTGTGGAAGCAACAAGATATTGTTGAAGACAATTATACGCTGATAAATTATGTTTTTCAATAACAAAATGTAAAAGTATAGAACGATATTTGTGAAATAGATTAGGATTTATATTAGCTATAAATGTAAGTCCTTGAAAAATCATATGAAATTCATGTCCAGCATCTGTATAATTTTTCAATGAAGTAAATATATGTTCAAGTTGATCTAATGTAATTAATTTCGGATGTTCTTTAATGATAATCCAAAATAAATGTCCCAATAATGAAACATAAGATATATCGCCATCAAACATAACATCAATCATATCATTTAATCGAGCATGATACATTTCAGAACGTTTATTGTAGAGTAACTAAGAAAACAAATAATATAATAAAATTAGAGAGACAACATACATATGTATGTCAACTTACAGGAAGTAATGAAGCAACAGAAATTTGTTTTCGATCTAGTGCATCATGAAGAAAATCCTGAACAAAATCAGCAGCTGTATCGGGTAATTTTATTCCAACATTATTCCAAAATATTGACCACCAACTATAAAAAACTGTTTGACCATCATCACATCCTAATGAATATAATTTTTTGAGACATTTTTCATATACACGAACATCTTTATGATTATTAAGACATGGACCAATACGATACCAGATTTGTGAAACAATTGTTTGTTCAAATGTATTTATTCCATTTTCATGTTGAATTGGACATGAAAGTGTAACTATAATAAGTGCAGCTAATTGACAATGAACTTCATATGGAAGAGTTTTTAAATGTTCAATATATGTGGCCAATTCTATACCTATAGACTAAATATGAAATAAATATTATAGATAGAAAAATATTCATATAAATTATAATTTATTTACAATAAAGAAAGATCTCATTCCTGAATTATTCATTGCTTGATTATCATCTTGTTCATTATCGATAACTCGTTTATGAAGTGCTTGAATAAATTGAGAACAAATATTAGCAGTTATCTTTTGTTGATCAATGAGTTTTATTAATACTTCACCCATTCTATAGACATGTCTTGACTATACTTTTGTATTGTCTATATTAGTTAATCCCGACCAATGAAGGATAGCTTGTAAAGCTTGATCATGCGTTGATTGATAAATAATTGTATAAATTTTCGATCTTTCAACAATAATTCTAATAATATCTGCAAGACTATCAAGATCACTAAAATGTGATTTTATATCAAATTTTTCATATTCGACACAAAATCGAACGAGATCAGTACAACGTGATAATAATTCTGTTTTTGATAATAAACGTTCAGCATAGATGGGTGATTTCAATACACATAGATCAAATATATGAAGAGCCAAGTCGAAAAATAGAGACGCTAAGTTTTTATTACATTTCCTATCGCTTAATTGAGGTACGATAGGTGAACAAATTTCTTCACATAAATCGTTTCGATGATTAATATTTATAGATGAACATACACGAATAAGCATTTCAAGTACACCTTTAATATCATCAACGGCTTTGAAGTGTTCGTTAATTACAATCACAAATTTACGAGCTTCTTTTATATTATTCAATTTAATCAAATTTTCGATAGCAGTCAAAAATTGAGTAAAATTTCCTTTCAGTAAATCAATATCACGCTTGTAAGATTGAGCAATTAAAGAGATAAAATCCGATGAAATAGGTGGCTCAACACATGCAATTAAATAAGTTTGAGCATCGATTGGATTTGCATAACGATCGAATATAGTTGGTAATGTTCGCGTTAAAGTATCTACAACACCAGCCCAAATAGATGATTGATGAGACATACGTGCAGCATTACTTTAACGAAAAGAAATAATATATATTTGAGTCATGTTAGTGAAGTATCACCACCTGATTGAGAATACTTCGAAGTATAAGAAAAAATTGGTTTTACAAACTACCATTCTTTTCTTTTGTCTGATTTAGAGACCAAAAGGTTTCTCGGAACTTAGTAAGGGACTTTTTGTGGTTTATTTTTAGTGAAAAATGATGCCATGTAGGAAATAACATAATCTTAGAAGTTTTAAAATATTTTCTTTCAAGTTACATATTCAGAAAAAGCAAAAAAATTATCAATTTAAGACAAATGTTTTTCCAGATTTTTAGTGACGTAGAAAAGTAGTATAACTAAAGAATAGAATATTTCATTCTACTTTTTCAATAACTTTCTTTAGGAATGAGTCAGAGTCTTGATATTTACAATATCAGTTTTATCTACCCATTGACGTTTGTAGTAAAAATCTCAGCTCTTAACTCCTTATATTTTGATCAGAAGATAGACAAAAGAGAGTGAAACAAACTGTGTGTCACATGCCAATTAACAACAGAAAGGTAGGGAATTGCGGTTTTCAGTAGTCGATAGTGAACAAATTGATGAACATTTCTATGTAATAAAATTTGAATTAAAATGTTTATCGATTTCACAGTAGATTCAAAAGAGGGTGGAACACTTTTTTTGACATTTTCTGGAACTATTGATAGAATGTCAAATTTCTGTGAAATAACAGTAGCTGGACGGAAAATAAGGTTATGGGCAGATAGAGCATTCAATATTGATACGTACGGTGTACAAAAATTTCATGTCCCGACCTTATTTAGCCATATAATAAGCATTAAGAAACTTTCTTTCTATATGGCCTGATAGAGAAAAAATGGTCTACTTTTCTATGTTATTTGATCATAGTTCAACTAATATCATGATAATCAATTTTCGATAAGATTTTTATTCGTTATCATTTATGCTCTGGTAAGATTTGCATTGTATTAACAACCAAAATAAACCACAAGATGTAGTACAAAAAGTTTTACAATCTTCATGGTGAAACTTATTGCAATTGTTTTCAAAATAAGGAAAATTCTGCGGAACTAATTTTTGCAATGCCCAAAATTTGGCCCCTGAAAAAATTGTTTATTTGAAAAACAATTGTAGGGCTTTTTTTGCTGCATCTTGTGGTTTATTTTGGTTGTTAATACAATACAAATCTTACCAGAGCATAAATGATAACGAATAAAAGTCTTATCGAAAATTGATTATCATGATATTAGTTGAACTATAATCAAATAACATAGAAAAATAGAGCATCGTTTTCTCTATCAGACCATATAGAAAGAAAGTTTCTTAATACTTACTATATGACTAAGTAACGTCGGGACACGAACTTTTTCTACACCCTAAGTATAAAAAACCTAACTAAACATCGTTTAGATTTTTAGTTTCAATCAAAAAAAAAAAAGACAAGAAGAAAAGCAACCTATTTGGAACCGTCATAAAAATGCACAAAAAAAGTGAAAAAAGGTTTTTTTATTTTTAGCTTTTTTCATAAACGATAAAAGATAAAAATCTGATTTTAGCAGCATAAGTAACAAATATTTTGGTATTAATTTCGAACAATTTGACTGAACAAGAACTAAGAAATAAACAAGACCATTGTTGATGGTCGAACAGTACAATAGACATCAGAATTACTGATTTAATGTTCATTGGTTGTGTTTTTTTGTGTTTGATATGTCTAAGGACTAAAATTGACTCTCTCCGAAAAGGAAATACTATAGTTTCTTCACCTTAGAAAATTATTTACTATATCTATGAAACAAATAAACCTGAATAAAATTCAGAAATTTATTTAGATTTCAACAATTTCCAATTGAAAAGTTTGAATCCTTAACATTTATAATTTTTGAGATAAAAATTCAAAATAGAATTAAATAATTTTATTATTCTAATTACCTAGAAAATTGTTGATATGTCGGTCGTATATCAATCATTATTTATTCAACATTTAAAACATTTTTATCCATTGTTATTGGTGAAAATACTCGTCTTGATAAATATTTTTGTCTTTATCGGTTTCTTTTTTTAAAAATGAATGTTTTTTATAACTATTAAGTATTTATTTAATCAAATCAACGGATTTTGTTGATATTAAACATTTAAAAAGTTGTAATTCATAATGAAATAATTCAATTATTGATAAATACCATTGATTATATATATTATTAACATCAAGAATACGTCGAAATATCCGTAAAATATCAATAAATGATGGCATTTGATCGGCACCAACAAATTTTATAATTATCTTAACAAGAACAACTTTAGCATAAACTGGTTGTTCAGATATTATCGATTCGGATAAGACATAATCAATAGCAGCATCTAATATTTTGACCTTGAAAGATAAAATATTGATATTACTTTCATTATAATTATTAATGAACTTATGTAGTTCATCAAATGTTTTTGGCCATTGATTTTCGAATGTTTTGTTATCATGTGTTAATTGTCGAATATAATCATCCATTTTTATTAATTCTACTTAAAATTTATGTTTACGTATATGTGATAATGAAAAAGAAATGCTTTTCTCTTTAGTTGAATGTAACGATGTGAGCTTAACATGATAAAAACAAGAAACAAGAAATATATATATTTGGTTTCTAAGACATCCACAGGAAAGAAAAAGAAAAAAATTTTCTCATTTTTTTCCAACAATTTTTTTTTTCACATAGAAGAAAGAAATATGAAGCAGAAACAGGGATACAGAATCTACTCGTGTGCGCGGAAGGTCTTCGGGGAAAATTTTTGAAATTTTCGCAATCAGACTTGGTTAACCTGTGCAAATATTAGTAAAGATACGTAGTGACCATTTTTTTTTCTTCTCATCAATCTTTCAAAAGAGCAACTATCTATTTTCATAAACAACCCTAGACGAACTTTTTTCTTCTCTTCTTGATCCCAATAGTTCACAATATGTGTTCATAGCGCATGATTTTCTTACTCAAGACAAGCGCTTGTGTGTTTGTATGAATTAAAAGAAACTCATGCGCTCAATCCAAGAAAATATAACTAGAAATTTGTATTCAAAGTTGAGTTATTTTGAATGTAAAATCGAAGAAAAAACTAAAAAACCTCTTTAATAACAGGAACGCTTGGATAAGAATTCAAGCACTTGAGCTTACTAAAATTTCCCAAGTCTTCCCTCAAGTTATGTCCATAGCACATAAAATTCTTCCTAAAAATGTTCATGTTTTTCATCTGCATGTCACAAAAAGTTTGACTAGGAAAAGTTAATTTATATGTTATTAAAATGTAAAACGATCGGTAAATGCTTTTCACAAATTGATTAATCGCGTCAAGTTTTTATAAAATTCTTAATTATTGAATCAATAGTTTCAATTGAATGCTTTTCTCTCTTTGTATGTGTTCTTGAAAATCAGTCTAAATACGATATTAGCCTATATTATTTAAAAGAAAAGTAATTTGAATAACAATGTATCCTAGAAATAATAGGTGTTATACTTTTATTGGGAATTGATCAAACTAAAGGATACAGAAAAAAAAATCATCCTAAAGAACGATTTAAGTTGAAGACTTTAGAAAATAACTTGAACGAATATCATTTTCGAAAAGAAGTAAATGAAGAATCCACAACAACTCTCAATGGTGATGACAATAATGATTATATATGAAGAGCAACAATAATCAAAAGTCATTTTGATGTCTCTATGTCTATCAAATTTAATATCAATAGGATCAACAATGAATGATGCCACACTGTTGTCTACAACAACTCTAAACACTTCGTCTCTTTCAAATACAAAACCAAATATAAATACATTATTAGGTCCGACAGAATATTTATCAATAGTGAATTCTATGCGGGATTTGTTGAAATTCATGACACAAGATCTTACGAAAAAAATTTTCATTTGGTAAGTTTCAATAGATTGAACACGAGACAGGTGAAGCACAATCACAAAATATTTCGAAGTTTAAAAACAACTATACAATTTTACTCTTTCAAAAAATTAGTCATACAAAAGATACACAATGGTTATTTTACAAAAAAAAGTGAACAATATCAAATTTGAAAACTCAATTATTCTGGCTCAGTTATTTTAAATCATTTGCGAAAAGTGAAATTAACAAGACTACTTGAACCAAATGATATATTGTTTTCTTAATGTCAATTTGCAATTTTTTAAATAATAGTACCTTTTTTTAATAGATATTTTAATCCAGAAAGGTCGGCATTTAATTGACTCTCATACCTGAGGAAATTTTTCAAAAAAATTTACCGTCGGGGGGAAAATTTTTGATTTTATCGGCAGATTCTTCACCCCTGAGCAGAAAACAAAAATATCCTTAGAAATATCTACGAGTATGTAATCATAAATGACTGTTTTACATCTATACTAACCTTTTCTTGCCTTCTGGTCATTATAAGAGCTATTTTATAAAAATTTAGTTTCCCTGGACTATTAGATATTTAGAAACAGATTTTATATCAAATTAAAGCCTCTCTATTGTAGACTTCAAATCAACAATTTCAATCTAAAATCTGTTTCCAAATATCTAATAGTTACAAAAAATCAAATTTTTACCAAAAGTCAAATCTTTAAACATGTTTAACACTTATTTTATAAAAGATCTTTTGTATTTTCCTATACATTATTTTGTTTCTCATTTCATAACAAACTATTATTGAATAATATACATTAATTGGAAATTATTAAGAAAATGAATTACAATATATTAAACTATCAGAATCTATTAGAATTCGTTCGGCTAAATTTCAAGGCATAACTGGAAAAAATATGCGAAAGGTATTAATAAACCTGAAGATATGATAGAAAAACACTTGACATTCAAAATTCGTCTGTCAATAAAAGCTTATCAACGCAATCTTTTGGACATTAAAATACATAAATCATATATTTGATATAAACTAGGGCATTATTTAATATAAATAAGCTTTTGCTTTTTAGTAATGAGTTTTCCTTAGAAAAATTGGAGAAGAATTCAGTAGTTTACAATAAAACATTAATTCCTTCGACTGTAGGGAGGGTCATATAAAAAAAATAGATTGTATGTTTTTGTGTGCGGCAAGCTCAAAGAAACATCCGAACAACGATATTTTATAAAGATTGACGAAAGTAAATCGAGGTCGGAGAATCCGAGTTTGAAGTCAGTTTTTCAAAAATGTCAGAGTGAACGATGAGACATCATTAATACATTCGCCCTAATGTGATCCACCGGTGACTCACGGCAAAAAAATTGAATATCTCCATTGTATTTTAACCAAATGGGATAGTTTTCTTGTTAATGATAAGAAAATGTGACCTACAAATTTTGAAAAAAACTATGTAAATGCATAACAACTTTGTATTGCAATAAGTTTTATTTTATTGAAAACATATAATATTATGAACACTCGTCTACTATTTGAAATAAGCACTAGCTCAATTTGTCAGTCCTTGACACAAATATATAAGTTTACTTATCTGAAGAAGGTGTGTGTGTAAGGTATGGATAGGAATGAAGAAAGAATACATCTACAACCCACTATGGTCTAATTCCTAAAAAAACAATTCTACATTTTTCTAGCTAAAACAACAAATAGTATTGTTTATTGGTGGACATCTTTTATAGAAACAAATTCTAGAAATTTATTTTTTCTTTCCAAGATTCAGATTCAAATTAGAAAAATCAAAAACAAGAGTAGATCAATCGATTTCTGGACAGACAGTACCAGTAAAAGTGAAGTTGAACGATGGTTTATATTCAAACGAACATTGTGTACATCGATGCATCGGTGAGACACATATGATGTTCACATAGTACTTCGTCTGTTTCATGACGAATCGGAATCGTATTAATAGTAAATAGAAGTCCAATTATAACAGCTATTATAACAAGTAGATTTTTCGTGATGAAACCAAAAAATGAATATTATCAAATGATAAATGAGTTATTCTGTTTGGATATGATAGTTTTTATTTTTCTCACACTCCGACTACAACCACGATGGATAAAATACTGATACGAATGAGATATATTACAGAAACTCAACAAAAAAATTCTATCATTGGAATGATCTAAAGTATCATCTAATACTAAAGGTTTCTTGGTTAAAAAAGAGGCCAAATGCTATTTATCTAACACAGCATCGGATGTATTCGTAGCATCATTGAATTGTCGTATGAATTAAAAAAAAAAACTAAAAGTAAAAGAATGTAGCTCGGTGACACTAACAGTTATCTGAGACTTCTACAGAATGCTTTTTACCAGAAGGTATAGCGAAATGGATATATACTTTTAATGAAACCAAAAACAAAAAAGTGGAAAAACATGGAAATAAATCGTTAGAGAAGAAGAGATAAAGAAAAGACATCTTAAAAAAATCATTGAAAACTGGAAAGTAAACGCCGTCATTTTTCAGCTATTCCAATCATTTTTTTTGTTAAATAGAGCTGGTATAAAAGAAAAAAATTACATTATGCAAATGGTTTCTTTTTATTGAGTTTTGTTAAAGGTAATCGCTTCTTCTCTAGAATAAGATCTTTTGATCTTTGATCAATGTAATGAAAATTAAAGAAGAAAATGACGATCATGTATTGTGAATTGTTTATGTAATTCATTAGTGTTAAATCTTTTCTATTAGAGTACTTGTAAAGATTATAGATACTGATATCTCACATCCGTAGTCCTGTAAAGCTTCCGTTCGGTTGATTTCGAAGTAAAAATGTTGTGGCAAAATTCTTAATTAATTTCATGTACTTATTATTTTGAACCTGAACCTTTAAAGTCAGGAAAATAAAAACTTTACATACAGACTTTTGGCAAACGGTACACAGATTACAACAATCTGCACATCTTCATCTCTCATGCCTTGTTAACAAATTGCTCTTGATTTCAGATATATGCAAGCAATACAGTTGTCAATGGGATACTCATATGCATGGAACTTATAAATTCAGAAAACATTTGGGTGGGGTGTGGGTAAAGAGAAGACTAACGCACACACCCACACCCCAAATTAAAGATTGAAATGTTATTCTAAGAAAATTATTATCTAAATTACTCACATCACTCAGTGAATTACCGTTGTCGTCTGTATCAGTTTCTTCAAATTGCATGTAAATCATCGGAAAATCTAAGTTGTTTTTTTATACATATGAGACAAAAGAGTCAAATATAATGCTACGAAAAGAATGCAAAAAAAACTTATCGAAATTTTGTCTCGTTATTTCGTTTCTACTGTGCATAGATAGAAGAAAAAAGCAAAGTAACTGACAGCATACAGTGAAAAAAGCAACGAGTGCATTTATCTGAAGGTGAATGCACATGAAAATGAATCTGTCAAAACAAAACTGAATCGTCTCGAATGTGTTAAAAACTAATTGTAGAAAAATTATTCTTTTTATTAATCAAGATAAATATAATATAAGAAATTATTTTTCAATACTGTTCAACAAGTTCACAATTAATCTCAGATACATTTCATTTTGATAAATGAGAAATAATCTCGAAGGAAAGAAAGGAAGTAGAACAAGCCCACATAGATCCAAGTGAAATGTGACATGAATTTGTGTGCGAAGTGAAAGACAGTAATTCATGTAATGTTTTGAAATCTATGCTATGGCGAATTGTATGATCTCCCTTTCCAAAATAAGAATATCAAAACATCAAACAAGTCTCTTTATGGCATACAGTTGAAAAACGTATATCGATGCCTGAGTAATGATATTTACTACTCATGATTTCATCGTCGTGATCTTTTACTTTATGAAGTCTATTTTAATAGCAAGAAAAAAACTCAAATACATGAGATTGAAGCTTACTGATTATTTGCACAATCTTTTCATCAATGATATAAGTCAATGCGCAAATAATCAAAAACAAAAAAAACAATAAAATCAACTCGAGACTCAGGAGAATCTCTTAAACACATAACTGTTACTTCAATCCCTGTTTTTAGTTATAGCGACCACCATAGTTACTCTTATAGCTTATAGTTTTTATATCCACAGGATTAGTTTTGGACTAAAGTCGTTAAAATGAATACTACGCCAAATTCTGAAAATTATAGAGTCAAGGCAGCCAAACACATAAGAGTACATCCATCTGAATTTTCTGCTATTTATCATTTATACTGATAATATCTTGATTAAACACAAAAAGTTTGCCCTTGATTAATATCAGTTGGTAATCTGTAATAAGATTTTTAGATCTCGTTAGAATCTCCATTGGAATAAATTAAAGTCTCTTTTATCAAATTTTTCATTCGCAATTTACATCAAAACAAAAGAAGTTACAAAAACTTATCATTAATATCGAATTATTGATTTCTTCATTGATTACACATTAACCTAAATCATTCAATGATCGTAATATCTGAACAGCAAAATACAACGAAAAAGATGCAACAAATATGGTTGATTATTTTATTCAAAAAAATAGTTTTCTTTAATTAAATCTTATATAAAATCTATCTATCTTTTTATTTTTATACAAAAGACGAATGGAAACAAGACCTCTGTCCTACAATCAAAGTGATTTATCATTTTTATAAATAGTTCTTTTACTTATTTTATTGGTTATTTGCATAATTCTGGTTATCATACTTACAATTATGTTGAAATCAACAATAACATCTTCAACAAGTATGGAATAATCAAATTTTATTTTCCACCTACTTTCACTAGTAAAAAATAATTAGAATATAAATGAGAAACGACACATTCTCAAACTCCTAAAGTAGACAGAAGTACAATCATAAGAAATACTTGTTCAAGAAACAATTCGTTCAAAACTTATTATTTTAATTACAAAAAAATGACAAAAGCACTAATGAACAGCCTTTTCTTTTAAGAAAGGTTGCTTTTATAAGTGGAATAGACAGAATGTCGAATAAATTTTGTCACTTAAATATAGGACTGGCGTCATTACATTTTTTTGTATATCTTAAATATCTCTGCGTAGATACGATATGTTTAGTTCATATTTTAAATTTATCAATTTCTTTATGGGAGTGATTGTTGGATCTAAACATAGTCAATCTTTTTAACTAATAGAATAAGCTATTCCATTGTTAGGATCATATCATAGAAATTCAAAGTTTTAATCCTTGCATAGATCTAAAAAGCTTGGGTTTCTCTCTCGATTGACCATCTTTGGATTTTATTCATATTTATTTGATTGTATCATGACACAGCAATATAAAATGTACATTGTATCCTTGCAATCTTCATTTACTTTCATTTTTGTACATATCCGTATTATACAACACACGACATCGAGCAATATACAAATTGATTATATCCAATTGTAAATTAGTAATCAATAATGACCTTACTGACACGCTGATACACGATCTGACAGAACTTTCATATCAACCAAATACACATCATTAAATCAGTGGTATAGTCTTCATTTCTTTCTTTGCTTAACAGTTCGAGTTTTTATTACATTTTTTGTTAATATGCGATCAAACTAATACTTGTATGATTGCTATCGATACCTATCTGACTGATAGAAAGTGGCACAAAACTAGAACTATTTATATAATAGGAAATACAAAGCTCTGAATTGCTCTCGCAATGAACTAGTCGGTCACTGAAACAAAATCTATTAATACATCTACTCAACGTCACATATCCACCATTGATAAGAAAAGCCCAGTCCCAAGGTTATAATTTTATAGACGTAATAGAAGCCCACCCTGTTCAAACCAAGCACAAAAAAAGACTATTTCGAAAATTGAATTAACTAGCTCATTATTTTTTATTGTTTAATTATAGCTCAGTTTATGTACCTTGTTTGCATTGTGCTGGATATATTTTCTATCAACAGACAATTAAAGATTTCTAACTATTGAAAATATGAACGCACAAATATTAATAAAGTATCGCTGTCTTAGAACTATTGAAAAGAAATTATGCGTGAAATATTGCAGTTCTATCAAGTTTCTTCCTATTATAGAATAATTCTACAGCTCAGAAACGAAATTATTGTGATTTTTACTAACTTAACAATAATATGAGCAAATCTTTGACTGAAAATTTACAATATTCATCAGATCTTTTAAGATCATACAATATCAGAGAAACTCTATTGTGCGATGTTATCGTGAGACTGCTTGATCTGAATTGTTTCGTATTTGAACTTTGCATGAACTGCCACAATGAAGTCGTCGAACAGAGCTATGTCGATGCTTGTCTATTAGAAGTCTTTTTAAAATTTCTTCAAAACTCGATAATATTTCAAATCAAGATATTATTTTTACTTCGATTTTTTTGCATCCATAGCGAGATTCATGAAATGTTGATAGTAGATGAACACTTGAATGGAAAACTTAACGTAAAGAGCACGCTAAATCATGAATTTAATATTACAACCTAGAAGTCAGTTTTTGATTCCAAGGAAACTATGATAGGTACTCCAAATGTACTCAGATAGTCTGGAAATTCAGATTCAGCAATTTTTAAGATGTTCTATGCCTGCAACCTAATTAAATTTAAGTGACAATATAAAAAAAAAGTTGATCGTAATACAAGCCCATGTCAAAATTTATGATTTTCAAAAAAAATTAGAAGCCCAGTGGTCCTCTATTCAGTGGGGAGGGGGTTCCTCAGAACATCGCTTCTAACGAATACAAAACGATCGATCATTCATGTTTATTTGCCAATATCTTTTAACTTCATCATGCTTTTTTCCAATTGTAGAAAAGTATCATTTAGCGTCGCATAACTTCAGTTGACATGAAAGTCAAACAAAACATTCATTTTAGCTTGGTATTAGTAATGAGTTTTCTCAATTTGTGCGGTACTCGAATCATTAGAACAAAGGTTGCCATTCTTGGAAGTGGAATGGCTGGTATGGCTGCCGCTCGCACTTTATCAGAAAATGGCATTTCAGATTTTTTAATTATTGAAGCACAATCAACTCTTGGAGGACGAATGAAAGAAATAAAATTCGGAGGATATACTATTGAATTAGGTCCTAGTTGGATTCAAGGTATACGAAATAATGAAACTGGAGAAGAAAATCCAATATGGACATTGGCAAACAAACACAAACTTATGAACATCTACACTGATTATGATGACTTATTGACTTTTGATCAAAATGGTTTTACTAATTATTCGAATATCGTAAATCAAGCATTTGATAAATTTGATCAAGTTGTAGACGATGCAGCGAAAAGATTAGCATTAGGACTGGAAGATCTGTCATTCGCACAAGGTCTAAGTCTTCAAGGATGGATACCTCAGACACCACACGAAAAAGTAGCCGATTGGTGGGCATTTGACTTCGAATATGCTGATACACCAAGTGCATCGAGCATGATTGAGACATCAATCCATACTAAGACAAGTTATGCTCGATGGTCGGAAGATAATCATTTCGTTATAGACGAACGAGGATACGGAACATTAGTACGTGAGGAAGCTAAAACTTTTACGAATGAAAAAAACATTCTCTACAATAGTACCGTTACAAAAGTGAAATATTCAAATCGTTTGGTAAGTATTACATTGGAAAACGATTTGATCATTGAGGCTGATTATGCTATCTGCACATTCTCAATCGGTGTTCTACAACATAATGATGTTCAATTTATGCCAAGATTTCCAGTATGGAAACAAGAATCAATCTTTACCTTTAAAATGGCAACTTATACGAAAATCTTTCTTCAATTTTCTCACAAATTTTGGAATAACACACAGTCTTTTTTGTATGCTGATCCACACCGACGAGGTTACTATCCACAATGGCAATCATTAAGTGAAGTTGGCTTTTTTCCAGATAGTAATATAATGTTTGTTACTGTTGTTAATGATCAAGCTTATATTGTTGAAGAACAAAGTAACAACCAAACATTGATGGAAATTATGACAGTATTAAAATTGATGTATGGAAATGAAATTCCACAACCCATTAATTTCTATTATTATCGATGGAGTCAAGATCCATTATTTCGTGGTTCGTACAGTAATTGGCCAGTTGGTACCTCACGTTGTCAACATGATAATCTTCGACGACCAATTGGACGTCTTCATTTCACTGGTGAAGTGTATTCAAAAGAGTATTATGGATCTCTACAAGGTGCATTTATGGAAGGTGTGCAAACAGGCAAAAAAGTAGCTGATTATCTATTGGGCAAAATATTTACAGAAACTAATCAGGACTATTCATGCAAATATAAGTAATTTAGATTTTGAATTGTGACATTCGACTAATTATCTATAGCCTCATTTAAAACATAATGATAATCATAAAAAAACTAATCATTTTAGTATATTTTCTTCGTCGAACTAAGAATTCGTTGTCAAAAAAAAAGAAACTCCTCAGCACATAATAAACTATTATCCAGATCACTATGAATTGTGGCAGTCTATATCGGTTTTTAAGTTTTGATTGAATGTCACTTTGAAATAAATAACCGGTTGGGTGTGGCTGTGTGCGAATGCAGGTGTCTATCATTCTTTTTCATTTTCGTTGAGGAAAGAAAAAGTGACTGTGCAGGTACGAGAACAAGAAAAGATTGACCAACGATAGATTTCATCGTATATATGAGAGTGTGGGTGTGGGGATGCATATATTTATTTTTTGAACTTAGTACCGTACTCACACCTTCAAGTTCTCTGACATTGATTAGTACAACTACTTAATAATATTTGAATACATTTACTAATTTTACTTTTTCAACCATTCGATAAACAATCAAAATCAAATTTCAGAAAAACAAAAAATTTTTTTTTCTCTTTTTTTAAAGTTTAAATCAATTTTGATAGATAAACGTTCTAAGATACTTATCAAATATGATAACCTATCAAATGTAACGACAAAGTTTCACATAAATAAAGAAAATAAAATATTTTAATATTTTATAAAATCAATTTTAAATTTAAAGAATGTTTATTAAAGAAATTTTCAATAACATAGTTAAAGAGTATTTTTTCCTTATGCGTTTTCTTCTATTCAGTTGGATTGTCTTACTTATTTATATAAATATATTTGAACATAAGGATAATCAGGTTAACCGTATTGTGATATTCCTGATTAATTATATAAAAACTTAAAACATTGATTCAAGATGAAATTTTCAAGAAATTAATGAATTTTTTCTCTATAAATGATAATATTTTAATTATTTGTTGAAAATCGAGTATTTGTTTAATACTGTCGAAACCTTCACAAAGTTTCAAATGGATTAATTAAAAATTCTTTTAATAAATGAGTTGTTTTTCGAAATATCTCAAAATGAAGAACAAATATTGACATAAACAAAGAAAATAGAATTATATTACTAAATAAATAAAATGTAATTCAAAGAACTAAGATGTTCGAATTGTCAAATCGAATAGATGATAGTCTTTAATAGAAACAAAATATGATTAATAAAAAACAATTTTTTAATAATTAATATTGATTCAATGATGAGATCATATTTTATACTATTAATAGAATATTTTGTTTCTTTTTATATCAATCATTCGATTTTATTTCTTTTAATAAAATAGAAAATTTTATAAGTTAATTCTTATTTTCAATTTTAATATTCTTCCAAATAGAAATTTTAAAAATCATAAAGATTTTATTTATCTTTTATAATAAAACAAAGAATATTTGATATATATTGTCTTATTTACTTTGGGAAAATAAAAAAGATTTAAATCTTTTCAGATATTATCTAATGAAAAATTTTTTTAAATTGTTTTTTCGTTTTTGAAAATCGTTTCCATTATCGATCGTTATCAAGGAAATTAATTTATAATTATGTAATATCGAAGCCGAATAGATAATATATTCAATAGTAAATTTCATCCTGTTAGCTATTGAACGATGAATAAATAGTTGTTCTATAGGTGAAAGTGATATTATTCTTCAGCGATAATATTATGAAACAATACGTTAAATGAAAACTCAATAGAAGAAAAAAAATATCTTTTAACGATTCAATTGAATAATCAGACTAAAAAAATAAATAATCAATAAATTATTCACTAAAAATATATTCATATTTATATTTATTATTTTTATATCATCAGAATAAAGATAAAATATAAAAGGAAGAGGTTTTTTTTCTCTAATTTATCTTATCGAATTTGAAATATTGCCTTGTGTTTATTCTATTTTTTTTTTTGATAGATGGATCAATTCTTCAGAGAATATCTCATTTGAATTCAATAAGATTGTTATTTGTTTTTGATATAGTTTTGCTAAAAGTAAAATACTAAAAAATATTAAAATTTCTATTTATATCATAAATATGATAATTTACTTGTATATGTTCAAATCAGTTTATTCGTCCGAGTTCATCATAGAATATATATTAGTTTAATTAAACAATTTAAATCATTATTATTTGTAGGAAAACTATTTTCATATTATTTTTAATAATATTCTTATTAATACTAATTTCAATCTTTCGTTGAAATTATTATATATATTGTTGTAAATGGAACTTCTATTTAATATCTCTCTCTATTCTCATTCAATTTCTATTTATTGTATAAAAAGTTAGTCAATTAACATGCTTTATAGTAATCTACTGGATATGAAACTAATAGCACAATCAAAAATGAAATTTTCTTAGGTTCGATGAATTAACTATTTATTTGAGTAATCTTAACGAAATATTTTTTATGATTACAATAAATATAAGGATATATTAACATGAAATAGAGATCTGAAAAACAAAATTTAGATAAATAATTAAAAATTACATTCATTCTTTTGGTAAAATTCTCTTTACAAATATCAAGATTTCTGTCATTTCATAACAATATCTAACTATTGATATAAAACATTCAGATACAAAAGATAATTGAGCTATACATTTCGATATTTTATTTACTATCAATCTACTTGAATTCGTTTATTTTTGTTTCTGAACTATTTCATATAGATTAATATTTCTATATTATTCTACAAAAAATATTTAATAAGTAAAATTGTTTATCAATGTTTCAACCAAATATCCAATTTATCATATACAATACATTATACTTATTAATAAATCTTTATATATTAAGAATATATCGATATTTTTATCAATGATAAACAATGCGACACAATAATAACTAACAAATATTAATTTGATTCTGTTAAAAAATTCCAAGAAAAAGAAAAATTTTGATAAATACAATAAGATTGATATCTGCTATGTCTGTCTATACTAGAGAACTGCACGGGAGTCAGAGTGTGAGTTAAGAGACGAACTATCTTCAAAAGTACTCCCACACCCACATCCTAGTGAAACATGATGAGAGAATTTTAAACAAGTGAACAAGCGTTCTCATCATGTTTATTATAGCGTGTGACAAAATCAGAGGAGATCAGTTTTAAAGTGTCTCTCGAACGATTATAATGATTTTATGTTTAGATAAAATATTTATGTATTTATTTAATTTGTAGTATAAAATTTTTTTTTTTTAATCAATATTTTTTTCTGATTGAATGATAAAAAATAAAATAAATTCTAAACATATCAAAAACAAATTTATTTTCTAATCTCCTCTACTTAACTTTGTTATGAAGAATTTTCTAAAATTCTAGTACCATAAAAAAAGTCACTTAACCATTGTGAAAAGGGTAGATGTGCGTATAAAAAGAAGATCCATACCTTCATTCACATCCAGAGATCTACATCAACGTCGACACCCTACACTCCATAGTGAAGTCTGAAATTTTAAACTATCTCAAATTGATTGATGCATATTATCAGCTCGTGTTTCTATTTCATAACTGTATAAATGATTTGTTTTTACCTGTTAATAGTTCGATTTTACCTAATAGAAATGAATAATCGATCGGGTTTCGATAAAATCTCATATTGTTTATGATTCATCGAAAATCTTCATCAAAGAATAGTTTTTAGTATTCATGAAGAATTAGATAACTACATTTATTTCATTCCACCAACCATTTCTAAGTTATGCATCTGAAAACGTGTTATGATAAGCTTTAAGAATAGAAATATTTATGAAATTTGCGTTTGATATTATTTGATTTATTTGATAATCGAAAAAATCAATTAAATAAAATGTTTTTCATCTATTTTAGATTTTATCAAACTTAAACTAAAAATTACTGAAAAGATTAAAAAATCGAAATGAATGTTAAAAAATAAAATTCTAATAAAGGCTTTTTGCGTTTCTTTTTTGAAAGAATAAATTTCTTTTCTATTGAATTTCAATGATTTTTAAAGATTTTTAGAACAAAAAAAACGTTTATTTGAAGATTTTTTTACAAATGAGAAAAATCATCATTAATAAATATTTTAAAGAATTTATTAAATCATCGTTTGATTTATAAGAATATTATTTTTCATGTTTTTAAATAATTGAATAGATAAGATGATCAATAGAGGAATCTTTTTGTCTGACAATCAACTAGATTATATCATTGAGTATTTATCATTTATTTTTCGGTATATGCATTTAATAATAAATAATAAAGAAATTGCAACCGAATAGAACATATTCTTATTTTTAAAACGTTTCCTCAACTATTGTTGGGTGTGGGTGTTCATGATCATTTGACTATCTACACCGACACACACACCTAGCCACACTCCAACCACATCCACATCCACTCAGCGCCCCCCACAGACCCAAACCCACACTCTCGTAAATCGCGACACATCCGCCACATTTCAACTTAGTGTTCATGAACATCCTAGACACCCACCGACACCTTCACTCATACGTATACCCTCACGCACTCCCACGTATTTATTCATGTCCATACCTTCACCCACGCCTACATCCTCACTCATAGTCATACTCTCACCCTCCCCCATGTTTCTGTTTCGAGATGTTGAATCGATTTAGAAATACTCAAACCGTCTGATGCGATCCATTAAGCTGGATCGAAACGCATCATAGTAGCTTTCTCCACACGCTCACAGCAGCGCTCAATTCAAAATGTGGACTATTGTAGACCCATGTTGATGTCACACATATGTGTCGTTGTTAATGTTTTTAACAAAATGGTTTGGTTTTGTGTAGTACGACCTGAAAGGAGTGTTGAAGTATTTTGGGGTAGAAATTTGGACCCACTCCTCCCCATCCCTCTCCCCCTCACAGACCATGACAGAGGACCGTCGGTACCCATCACAGACCATGATAGAGAAACTGTAGTTGTAAAGCATCAGATATACGATCAGCTACAAATGTGTCGTTAGGAAATGGAACAAAAAGAT